GCCTGCAATGGGAGGAACTACAATGGATTGTGGCCATCTTTAATTCATCACAGTCTGCCCTCTGGCCATAACTTTTCACATTCTCCCCAATGCAAAATTCCCTCACCCCCCTCCCCACGATACCTAAAATTCTCACCCAATTACAAATGGCATCATGCTCGAAGTCTGACATCTTGTGATCTGCCCCTTCTTCCAGCCTTTGTCCAATTCCCTGTCCCAAAATTAATGCCATATGTTTTAGGATACTGATATGACATTACCTATTTCTTAGTCCTTATTTCTGTATCAGTTACCTATTGTTGTGCATAGCAAACTAGACCTAAATTTAGTGGCTTAAAATATTTTCTTTGGGCTAGGCACGGTGACTCATGCCTGTAATCCCAGCATTTTGGGAGGCCAAGGCGGACAGATCATGAGGTCAAGAGATCAAGACCATCCTGGCCAACATGGTGAAACCCTGTCTCTACTAAAAATACAAAAATTAGCTGGGCATGGTGGTGCGCACCTGCTACTCAGGAGGCTGAGGCAGGAAAGTCGCTTGAACCTGGGAGGCGGAGGCTGCAGTGAGCCAAGGTTGCGCCGCTGTACTCCAGCCTGGCAATAGAGCGAGACTCCGTCTGTGTGTGTGTGTGTGTGTGTGTGTGTGTGTATGTGTGTATGTATTTTTTGTTTTTCTTTGCTCAGCTAGGAGGTTGGACTTGGCTCAGCTAGGAGATTGTTCTGTTGGTGCTGGCTGTTAGCTGGGGCATCTCTGTTCTCCATGTGGCCTCTCTAACCAGCAAGCTTGTTTGTAGGGCCACATTCCAAAAGCACATGAATTATATACTGTGTAAGTTCCCCAGCACTCTTTCATCAATGAAGTCACAAGGTCACCCCAAATTCAAGTAAAAGGAAAACACTCCATCTCTTAATGGAAGGAGCTACAAGTATTTAAGGCTGTTGAAAGTACCACACCAGGCCAGGCGCGGTGGCTCAAGCCTGTAATCCCAGCACTTTGGGAGGCCGAGGCGGGTGGATCACGAGGTCAGGAGATCGAGACTATCCTGGCTAACATGGTGAAACCCCGTCTCTACTAAAAATACAAAAAAAAAAAAACTAGCTGGGCGTGGTGGCGGGCGCCTGTAGTCCCAGCTACTTGGGAGGCTGAGGCGGGAGAATGGCGTGAACCCGGGAGGCGGAGCTTGCAGTGAGCCGAGATCACGCCACTGCACTCCAGCCTGGGAGACACAGCGAGACTCCATCTCAAAAAAAAAAAAAAAAAGAAAGTACCACACCTTTAGATCTGTATGGTCTGTCTTTTCCCTTGCCTGTTAGTCTTTTGTGTATAAAATTGTAGAAGCTCAAGGATATTATCTCCCTACAGATAATTTTATTTTCTTCTACCATGCACAAAGCACCTTACTCCAGTAAGGGATTGGGAGAAGTGGGGTCAATGTGATGCTAAGTTGGCATTACTTAGTTTCTAGGGCTGCCTTAGATAGCTTCTAAACCCCAAAGCTTCTCTCCACAGTGCCATGAGTCTACTGAGTACTCTGCTTAGCTTTTACCCCTTCACCAACTGCTCTTTTTTCAGTTTCTGTGAATCTCACCCACCCGTGTGGCTTAGGAATTCACAAGTGTTTCCAGAGGAAGTTGTGTGAAAGGTGGCTCCCTGCACCCTGGTCCTCTGTTGACCAGAATCTTGTTCCTTCATGTCCTGGGTGTCCTGTGGCCCTGGACTCCACATTTTTATCACCAGCCCACTGAGCCCCTGCTCTGTTGGGTGTCAATGCTCCCCTCCACAAATGGACAGGTGCCCTGCGGAGGAAACGCTTGGGTGCAGGCTCAGCTCATTTCATTTCCATTTTATGTGGGATCCTCACCCTCCACATCTTTTTTGGTCTCCAAAGCCTCGCACAGCTGTTCCTTGCTGTTGGCATCACTTAGTCTCACAGTCCCTGGTGTTTACATCAGGAGGGTCAGGCAGACGTGAGCTTCACTACCAGGAGGGAATTTCCTGCAGCCTCCATGGCACTGTGTTTTCTTCCGGTCTTTTTTCTATGCACATACACATCATCCCTTTTGTTTCCTTTTGTGATGCTGTTTCTAAAAGGATCTTTATTTCTAGAAGAAACTTTAGGAGGCAAAACAATGCAGCCCCCTTAACAAAGCGGCTCTGGTGGCAACTTTCCCTTGTAAATTTGTCCTGTAGTTCCTACTTTCCCAAGCACTTGCTGTTTGTGGGGCTACAGGACACAGCAGTTTAAAGGGGCTATGGACATCGCCAGCATGTACCCTCTTACCTCATTTTACTGACAAGGAGCCTGAAGGCCCAAACATAGAAAGAAATTAGCATGGCTGCCATGTGTTAGCAGCACAGCCATTGCCAACCCAGGGCCCTGACTCCTACTTGATCCCCTTCTGAATGACACTCAAGGCAGGGGTCCCCTTCCCACTCACAGGTGAGGTGAAACATTTCACCTTGAAAAGCCTCTTGCCCCCAGCCTCCCCTCAAGCCCACACTAGGACATGGCCTAAGTATCTCCATCCCATGGAGTTGAACACTCTCCTTATTTCTGGAAGGATCCAGTCTGTGTGCTCCTCAGGCAGTGCAGGGGCAGTGAGGGGATGACCAGCACAGGGTGGCCACTCACAATCTCCTCTCCTCTCTCCACTGCAGGCTGCGGGAACACCATCGGGCCACCATTAAAGTCATTCGACGCATGCAGTACTTTGTGGCCAAGAAGAAATTCCAGGTAAGCCCTGTGCTGAGCCTTCCTGCCCTCAGCCTACCCCTCGCAGCTTGCTGCAGCTGCCCACACCTCTACTGGGTTCTCTCCTGCCCATAGTGGAGGCTGTCAAGGCCTCCGCCCCCAAGCCACACAGGCAGGCCTATCTGAGACCTGACAGTGCCTACCCCACCGAACCCCAGACAGCAGGCCCCTCAGAGGGCGTATCCTTGGAGGCCCGGCCTGGAACCAGAGTCACATGCAGTGTCTTCTTCACCAAATAGAAGGCAGCAGCCGTGTGGCTCACTCAGTCCTCCCGTGGGGTGGGTCGTGCAAGGAAGCATTAGTGAGAGATGTGAGGGTGACATCAGAATGACTCAGAGATGGTGTGGAGCCTGGCCTGAGACACCAAACTGGGAAGGCAGGTTCCCCAGACCCCCCAGCCCTGTCCTCTACTGGCTCAGTGCTCTCTTTCCCTGCTCCTCCACCCTCTGTGAGTTGGGAGGATGGAGGGAGGCTGAGCCCTGCTCTGTGAGAGGTGCTGTCCCTTTGGCCAGGTGAGGCTGGAGCTCCACGGCTTCCATAAGCTGCCCTCCAGGGCCAGGCCTCCTACAGAAGCCCCTTAGAGCCCCCAGAGTCCATGCCCTGCAGAGAGTGCCATTGATGGCAGGTATGTCTCCCCTCCTCCTGCCTTGGGGACATTCCTCAGATGGAGATGGTGGTGGAGGGAACTGAGTCCTGACTTGGAAATACATGTGTAGGTGTGGGAACCCCGTATCCTCTGTGGTGGGTGATCCAGAAGGCATAGATCACAAAGCAGGGAAGGCTGGGGGGTGACTTGCCCAAGTCCCTTGGAGCAGAAGGCGTGTGACGTGCTTGAATGAGTGTGTGTCAGCAGAAGGAGGGTGGGGTGGGGCTCCTGAGCAGGGGGCTCCTGACATCTCAGCCACAGCCTCACCAGGTATAAGGCACAGCCCAGGAAGGCTCAGCAATGTCTGCCGACCACCAGGACCCACAGCCGGTGGCATCCCAGCCCACCAAGGCTTATCCTGGAGCCACTGAGCTCCCTGTTAGGGTCTGGTCAGGGCTCATGGGGGCCTTTGTCAAGTGGTCATTGGGTCAGACTGGAAAGATCATCTTGACTTCAGGAGCCTGAGATGAGCCAAAAAAATGCAGGGCCCATTCAGATGGACTGACAGTGGCACTCAAATCTGGTCCCCCTGCAGCCATGCCTTTCACACCAGGCCACACCTTCCATGCCAGGACCCAGGATTGACACAGGCCCTCCCACAGTCTCCTTGGTGGAGCCCCCACCCATCTGGGCGCTGGAGCCACTGCAGCCTCCAGACTTCACATGGCGGTCTGGGTGCAGACCCCAGCCCAGGCAGCCCTGGGCAACTTCTTCCCCAGCTGTGAGGGGAACGAGAGCCTAAGGGTTTGGCATAAGATCATATGCACGTGCCTCACCCAGGCCTCACCCATGGCAACCCTGGGCCAGCAACCGCCAGGCCCGTCGTCACCCCGAGCCCCAAGAGCAGCCCTCGGCCAGGCCCTTACGGAGAGTAGTGTGCGGGCCCTCGTTCTGGCCACCGGGCCACCATCTCCAGGGGGGTTTTGCATGCACAGCCCTCCCACAGTGCTGTTTCTCAGCTGGCCCTCCTGCCTGCATCCCCCCAGGGAAGGGGGTGGTTCATGACTCAACTGAACTAAGTTGTGTCAAAGCTCCTAGCAGGGCCTGGGACCTCTTGCAGTCAAAATAAAAGTCATGGTAAATGCCACTGCTGGCCAGTGCCCGGAGATCTGCCTGGCATGTTCTAGGGGAGATCTGACAGCCCCTGTGGACAGGGTGTCTCCATTCTGGGACCGTCTCCTCTCTCTGGTGCTGGCAGGGAGGGCCTTGCCGGAGCGGGTAGCTCACGCGGGGGCAATGGAAGAGAGGGGCCGGCCTCCTGGCAGCACCAGCGCTCTCCCAGGCAGGGAAGGGGCTGCAGGAACCCCCTTGGGACTCAGGTCTGGGCAGGGCAGTCCCCCGAGGGCAGAGGAGACCATGGGAAGGGCTAGGGTGTGTCAGTTCACTGGAGAACATGGTCGTGACAGCCGAAGCGGCTGACGTCACCCCAGCAGTACAGCAGAGGGTCACAGGGAGCCTCCCAGGGTGGGGCCGGTTTCTGGCCTGAGGGTGCAGAGCAGGTCCCAGCAGGGCAGAACCAGAGCCCACCAAGGCTTGCAGAACTGTGCCACGTGGGCACCCTGGGGGCTGCTTCCAAGCTCTGGGGGAACCCAGCAGAACATGCAGACCCTCATGGCTCCTGGGCAGGCCTAGCTCCAGGGGTGGAGTGGGCAGCTTCCAGCTCAGGACCAAGAGATCGTCCAGCCGTCCATTTCTCCATCAGCCAGGAAAGACACTGGCATTGAGGTTGATATCAAGGATATCCTATCGTGATAATAAGTACCATGGCTTCCAGTCTTGTGATGAAACCTCAGATGCGTAGCCTCCTGGCCAAGCGTCTGCAATTTCATGTTGTTGGAGCATTCGTTGAATACCTGGGAGTTGCAGCTCTCTATAAGTTTGATGTGGCTGAACCAAGAAAAAAGGCACATGATTTCTACAGATATGATGATGCCATAAAAGATTTTGAGGTGATGAGGAAGGCTGGTATCTTTCAGAGTGCAAAGTGATTTTGGAATATAAAGAATTTCTTTGGGTTGAATTACCGAGAAGCTTGTCAGTGACCTGTGGTCCTGAACTGTGAAACATGAATATGTGGGCCAAGAAATCGTTTCTCTTGGTAAATAAACAATTAACAAATACAAAAAGAGAGAGAGGGAGAGGGCCAGAGAGAGAGAGATCATCTGCGCCAGCCCCAGCAGGCCCTGTTGCTGAGCCACAGGCGAAAAAGCTGGTCCCTGGGGAGGAGCACAGTGAGCCCTGCACTCCTTTCCAGGCGAGGGGGAGTGGGTCCCCTTTCCTGTCTTAGGACACAGGCCAGAACCCTGAGAATGGCCCAGAAGGCTTCCTGAAGCAGACTGGGAAACCCCCACCCCACTGTCTGCTTCTCCCCTGCTCCCTGGCCCTGGGAGCCTTGCAGAAACCTGGCAGCAGCAGGATCCTCACAGGGCACAGAGGCTCCTGCACGAAGCCGCAGGGGCTCCCTCGGACCTTACCAGCTGGCCCTTATTGCTGGGGGCAGCATGGAGGGGTGGGGCTAGGGTGAGAGGAGCAGTAGCCCATGGCAGTGAGGAGCTGTGTGTGGCTCCAGGGGCTCCCCCCGCCTACCTCTCAGGATGCTTCCCTTCCTCCATGCCAGCCTGTCTGCTTGCTTGCACCTCACCCCACCCCCGCTGGCCTCAGGGGCTGCTGACATGGCAGGTGACCCCCGCCCCGCCTGCCTTGATGGCCGATAAGTCCCTGGCCAGCCACCCCTGTGTCTGACCCAAGGAGCCAGAGCCTCTGCGCCCTTGAACTCCCTGTCCACCGTCAGTCAGTCTGGACAGGTCTGCATTATCTCGGCTCATCTCAGGCTCCTGACGTCAGGATGATCTTTCCAGCCCAACCCTGGATGACCACTGGACAAAGGCCCCCATGAGCCCTAACCATATCCTAGCAGGGATCTCAGTGGCTCCAGGATAAGTCTCTGTGGGCTAGGATGTCCCTGGGCCGTGGGTCCTCATGGTCCGCGGGCATCACTGAGCCTCCTCAGGCTATGCCTTATACCAGGTAAGGCTGTGGCTGAAGGTGTGGAGAGCTCTCTGCTCATAGGCCCCACCCAGCCCTGCTCCTGCAGACGTGCACACACTCAGGCACATAATAGTTCCTTGCCCACAACAGGCCTGTTTGAAAGAACTTGCGTCTGCAGAGGCTGCTAACACACATACCTACACCCACCTGGTCACAGTGGCCCAGGGACTCCCAGGCCTTGGTTTTCCCCTGCCCTGCCTCCCTTCACCTGCCCACACCTCACCCAGCATGCCTGGAGGTGCCTCACGCTTCAGCTTCACAGAGCTCTGTGGTCTGCAGGAGGCTCACCACCATGACTCACGCCATGTTCAATGTGTGCTGAAGAGAGGCTCGGCCACAGCCAGCTCTGACTCTGGCTCTTGCATGGTGCTGGCTTAGGATTCCCTGACCTTTCTCAACTCCCATCCTCTGTCATCTTCACTCTCTCCCTTAAGGCAGAGAAAGGCAGGGCTCAGCATCTCGTCTTGCAGAAAGGAACTTAGAATCTCCATTATACAGAAGGGAGAAACAGAGCTCAGCAACCCATCTTACAGAAAGGAGGATCAAGGCTCAGCATCCCATCTTATAGAAGAGAGAGGCAGGGCTCAGCATCCAATCTTACAGAAAGGAGGATCAGGGCTCAGCATCCCATTCTGTAAGCATCCCTTACAGAAGGGAGCTTAGCATTTTCATCTTACAGGAAGGAGAAACATCCCATCTTCCAAAAGGGGGGATCAGGGCTCAGCATCCCATCTTACAGAAAGGAAGATCAAGTCTTACAGAATTCCATCTTACAGAAAGGAGCTCAGCATCTCCATCTTACAGGAGGGAGAAACAGGGTTCAACATCCCATCTTCCAAAGGGAGGATCAGGGTTCAGCATCCCATTTACAGAAAGGAGAATCAAGGCTCAGCATTCCATCTTACTGAAGGGAGCTTAGCATCTCCATCTTACAGGAGATGCTGCCAGGTACAAAAGATGCTACCAAATGCTAACAGGGCTCAGCAACCCACCTTATAGAAGGGGAGGATTGAGGCTCAGCATCTCATCTTAAAGAAGAGAGAGACAAGGTTCAGCATCTCATATTACAGAAGGGGGAATCAAGGCTCAGCATCCCATCTTATAGAAGACAGAGACAGGGCTCAGCATCCCATCTTACAGAAGACAGAGACAGGGCTCAGCATCCCATCTTACAGAAAAGAGAATCAAGACTCAGCATCCCATCTTATAGAAGACAGAGACAGGGCTCAGCATCCCATCTTACAGAAAAGAGAATCAAGACTCAGCATCCCATTTTATAGAAGAGAACTCAGCATCTCCTTCTTATAGGAAGGAGAAACAGGACTCAGCATCCCCTTTTACAGAAGAGAGAGACAGGGCTCAGCATTTTATCTTACAGAAGAGAGAAGGACTTAGCATTCCCATTATAACAGGAGAAACTGAGACCTGAGGATGTTATTACTAGCCTGTACATAAGTACGTTTTTTATGACTATTATCAAACTGAGTACATGGCGGGCCAGAAGTTCTGCCTAGAGTCCAACCCCATGCCTGACCCTATCACAGGCCTTAGTGTGTCATTTCTGGGCAATGCCGGAGATCCTGGTGCCCAGTGTGGCCCCAGGAGCCGCAGGCCCTTCCTTCCATGAGGCACAGCTGTGTTGTGAGGACACAGGCCCCATCCCAGCCCTCCTGATCTCAGGATCTCCCGTTCAGGGCCCAGAGAGTGGCTAGTGTTGCCAGTGAGGGCCCTACCTGCTGGTGTCAGGTGAAAAAGGAAACCCCTGAACTTCTGAGGCCCAGCCTTTGGTAGGGAGGAGGTCTCTGCCCTGCCTTGGGATTCCTGGGGTCCAAAACAATGTTGGGTGGGCTGTAAGAACTCCACCAAGCCTCTGGCATTGGTGGAAGAACCCTTGGGCATGTCAGAAGTGTGTCTAGAGCTGAAAGTGGGTACTTGGATCCCTGACCTCAGGGACTCACCATCTGGGAACTTGCAGCTTCCCAAGGTGGAAATGACTGCATCCTCAGATTAAAGTCACCCTGGTCTCAGGAGTAGGGACCCCAAAGAGAGGTAGGAGGTGGGCAGGGAGGGCATGTTCCCAGACCCAGCCCGGGCCCTCAGTGGTACCTGAGCTTCCTCCTTTCTCATCCTCGGCCTCAACTGCCTCCCTCTGACTGGGGCTGGCCCTGCTCTGCCCCTCCCCACCAAGCTACTTGGCTTGTCTCTTGGATCTTGCAAATTCCCCAGCAAAAGGCAGGAAAGCTACTAGCTCGGTGCTAACGAGGCTATTTGGGCACTAAAGATGACTACCCTGGGCCTCACCTGGTCACCCAGTGGCCCCTCGGGATAGAGGCAGTCTGTTGTCCCATGTGCTGGCTTGTCTGCAGGGCCAAGGCCTTCCTAGGCCATCAAACCCCCACTCCGCCTGGCTGCTCCACCTGAGTGAGGCCTTTGGGAGCAAGGCCACAAATGTGGCTTGGGGTTTCCTGATATCATGAGACGCTTTGTTTTCTCTGTTGTGGTTTCAAGATGTCACCTGAGTCCCATTTATGGGCTCAGAGCTGGCGACAAGCCTGGAAGCCCTGGGGTCACCTGCCCTGCCTCACATGGCCTCAGCCCCACTGTGGGAGCCCAAGCAGATGCTCGTCACCCACAGCAAGTGCCGCAGACTGTGGCTGTCATCTGGGGCCACCCCTGCTGCCTGGCACAAACTGCCAGGAAGGATGCAGGGTGGACCCGCTCCCTACCCTGAGGACAGTGGGGGCTACAGCCAGTGAGCATGTCAAGAGTCAGTCTGGGGCCCAGGTAGGTAGTGGCCATGCAGAGCTGTGCCTCCTGGTCAGTGCCTGGCACTGTGCTGCTCCTTGGCCCTTTGGCTGGGCCAGCTCTTCCTGAAGTCATTGAGAACCAGGACTGGTAGCCTGGGGCAGGGGAGCGAGGTGAGGGGGAGGAGTGGGCAGGCCCCTGCTGGTGAGTGGATAGGAAGGTGGAACCCAGAGAGGCTGAGCCGATGGCCCAGGACCACCCAGAGCCCCGTGGCCAAGCCGATGGGGACAAGCTTTGCTACTGTGCATGCGTGGGACCAGGCCTACGCCATCACCATATAGGCGAGCTCCCAGGTTTTCACAAGCCTCCCAAGGGCAGACACTGCCACTGCCTGCACTTTGAGCCACGTGGCCGGGGCACAGGGAGGAGAAGTAATGTGTGTCTTTCTGTCCTGCAGCAAGCGCGGAAGCCTTACGACGTGCGGGACGTCATTGAGCAGTACTCACAGGGCCACCTCAACCTCATGGTGCGCATCAAAGAGCTGCAGAGGAGGTGGGCACGGCCAAGGGGCAGTGGGGAGGGTGCACGGGTCCTGCCCAGCCCAGCCCCAGCTGCACGAGGAGCGGTACCAGGAGGAGGGAGGGGCTGAGACCCTGAGTTCTCGCCTCTCAACCACCCCTACCCCTGCAGAGGGAGGGCAGCTGGCCACAGCCACGGTTCACAGCCAGCCCACCAGGCAGCTCGGCCTTGTTCCCCGCCCGGGTCTGAGACGATGGAGGAATTGAGGTGGGGAGGTGTGTCGGGGAGGAAAACACCCGCCTCCATCCCTGCTCAGGCAGCGACACCAGCTTCACACTCCCCACAACTTCACGACACTTGGCAAACAGCCCACCCACCTCCCATGTCACCCCTGAGCAAGGGGCCAGGCCCAGCCCTGGGAAGACCACGGGTCTCCCCCGGCTGGCCCTGGAGCTGGAGACCCTGACTGTGGGGAGCCAACATGTTCCCATGGCATCAGCGCCATCCTCCTGGGCCTGCACAGGCTCAGAGCAGCTATGCCTCCGAGAGGGCTCGCCTGGGAACTAGCTCTGTGTGTTACAGGGTATGGCTGGGAATCCATGTCCATTCTGCCCACAGGCTGCCTTGCCCATGGCTGATCCATTGCCTCCTACTCCTAACCCCAGGGAGGAAGTCTGAGAGGCAGCCCACTGACTCCTCCTTTCTGAGCTCCCTGCTCAGCCCCCTCAGGAGCATGGCCCTCTGGGGGGTTGGGAGTGAC